GTGCTATGGCCACTGCTCATCTCTCCAAACGAATTCATTCCATCCGTGCTTAAACCGAACCTCACGTTTCATGCATCCTCGCCGAAGTCTTTAAATGTTCTGTCGATATTTCGCCACTGCGACCCGTCAGCGGGGTGTCTCAGCATCCCATCCTGTTTACGTTCTTCTGCGTGCCACCGCATCATTCTAGCATGTGATTTGTTCCTGAAAAACCGCTTCAGCCTTGGTATTATAGGGAAATACCACATCACCTTAGCAGGAATTCTCTTCTTCAAAGGCTGTCCGTCAACTTCACCTAGATCATCTCGTCTTATCTTGTATCGTAGTGCTTTGCAAACAGGGCATGCTTCCTGGTTTTCGTACTCACCGCGATACAGGATACAGTCATTTGGACACGCGTGAATCTTCTGTACTTCCATACCTAGAGGGCAGACTGTCTTCTTAGCTTCGTACGTACTTTCGGGCAATTCGTTCCCCTCCGGAAGAATGTTCTTTACGAGTTTCAATAACTCGCCGAATGCCTTGTCACTCACACCATTTTTAGCCTTCCATTGCAAGAATTCTAGGATGGTACTCAACTTTTTGTAGCCCTTCTCGCAACCTGGGTACAACGCTGTTCTGTGGTCCGCTAACATGCGCTCCAGTTTCTGCACCTCCTTTTCACTTTCGCAGTCCTCCTGTAAGTCCCGCAATATTTGACCAAGTTCATCAGCACCGTCATTCCCTTCAACATCCAGCTCCGCCTCGCCCATTGTGTTTTCTTCAAATCCGCCATACTGAGCCCAGTCCAGAATGTTCTCATCTTCTACTTCATCTTCTTCCATTGCAACCCCAACCTCTCCATGCGAGGTCCAACAATTGTAGCTACGCATGAACCCCCACTAAAACAGGTGGGCATGAATAGTTCGTGTGGTGGAATACTCCTTCTGGTTTTTGCACTTGTCGCATGGACAACTTATAAAACCGTTACGCTTGTTATCATTGGCCACACCCAAAAAATAATGCACGTCGTCAATAAACTCTTTCGACCGCCGATCCGCGTACATCCATTGCCGATCCATCTATATGAAATACATATAAATCGTAATTATACAAAATCCAAGATTTACAAGGTAATTACATAATAATACAATAGTTGAATATAATTATTCATACAATTAATCATTATTATTAAATTCATTGTACATATTTTTCATGTTTTAATTACATTATAAACAAATATTTAATATGTTTTTCTTATTTTAATATTAAATTAGCTTAGTTTTATAATTCATACAAAATTATATGAAATTATTAAAACAAGTATTTATAATCTTCTTTATTCCCTACACACACTTTCTCTCTCATCATCTTCCATCACATTTTCTAGAGGGAAAAATATGTAAAAAGAATAGCTCCAAATGTAGATGCTAAGCAAAACAAAGAGTAGGATGAAGTTGCTAACCTTTTGAAGACCTCAAATTTGTATATTACCACCAAAAAAATTTGCTTAAAATTTTTACAGCACCTCCCTCCCTCAAAGCTTAATTTTGAAGCAATGGCTCGGGCTGGAGGAGGAAGAAGGGGTATATAAAGCTGTGCAACTTTAGTCCCGGTTGGTAACACCAACCGGGCATAAAGATCTCAAATCACTTTAGTCTCGGTTTGTATTACCACAATACTACAGATATGGTTTTTCTATACGGCAGAGAACCATCTTTCCATGCGGTTGTGCCAACCGCATGGACGAAATCGTCTGTAAAAATCACCCTTTTTACATGCGGCCGGCGCAACCGCATGCGAAAATCCTATTTTCGCATGCAGTTGCTTATACCGGCCGCATGCGAAAATAAATTGAGCAAACAAAAAAAATAAAATCGAAAAAACCCCAAACCAAACCCTAGCCCGCCACCGGAGCGCCGCATCCACGCCGCACGCCGTCGCCGGCGGCGGATCCATCGCTCCCGCCGCCCCCCGCCGTTGCCGGCGCCGGATCCGTCACCCCCACCGCTCGGCGTCGTCGGCGGCGCCGGATCCGTCGCCCCCGCCGCCCAGCGTCGTCGCCGGCGGCGGATCCATCGCCCCCGCCACCCATCGTCGTCACCGGTGCCGGATCCATCGGCGGCGGCATCGGATCCGTCGCCCCCGCCGCGGCCGTCGTCGTTGTCGGCCGCCGAGCCGAGGTTGCCAAGCCGCCGCCGTAGCCGCTCTCGCCGCCCGCCGTCGCTGCTCCCACCGCGGTCGTCGTCGTCGGCGGCGGATCCGTCGCCCCCGCCGCCCAGCGTCGTCGCCGGCGGTGGATCCATCGCCCCCGCCACCCATCGTCGTCACCGGTGCCGGATCCGTCGGCGGCGGCATCGGATCCGTCGCCCCCGCCGCGGCCGTCGTCGTTGTCGGCAGCCGCCGCCGCCGTAGCCGCTCCCGCCGCCCGCCGTCGCCGCTCCCACCGAGGCCGTCGTCGTTGTCGGCCGCCGAGCCAAGGAAGCCGAGCCGCCGCCGCCCGCTGCTCGACGCCGCCTGCCGCCCGCTGCTCGGCGCCCCCTCGTTGGCCACGCGCAAAGAAGAGAAAAGAGAGAGAGGAAGAGAAAGAGAGTGAGAGAGGAAGAGAAAGAAAAAGAGAGGGGTGAGGATATTAGAGAGAGGAGAGAGAGAGGAGAGGAGGGGAGATGAAAATTTTTGAAGTGGTGAGGAGGGAAAAAACTGAAAAAACTGTTGATATTTTTGCATGCGGACCACTTAAGGAGCCGCATGGAAAAATAGATTTTTGCATGTGGCTCCTTAAGTGATCCGCATGTAAAAATAATCATTAAAAAATTAATTAAAAATGTGAGAACTTCGAATCAAATTTTATGGTCTTAAATAAACTCATATGAAAAAGTTGCCAAAAATAAAGTTGTAGAAGTCGTTGAGATCTACCAATTTTCTTTTGGTCATTTCTCCATCCGAGTTTGATTGAACTATATAAAATTTGAATTTTGAAATATAAGAAATTCAAATAGTTTTTTAGGTAGTAAATGATTTCAAATGGAAAAGTTATCAAAAACAAAGTTGTATAACTTATCAAGATCTACAACTTTTGTATTGGTCATTTTTCTATATGACTTTGTTTGAACAGTCTGAATTTGAATTTCAAATTATAACAACTTCAAACAATATTTTCAGATACTAAATGATTTCAACCGAAAAAGTCGTCAATAACAAATTGGTGTAACTCATTAATATCTATAACTTTTATTTTGGTCATTTATTCATCCGACAAAGTGATTTGTAAGATTATTCACAGAATGTACATATCTATTATATAGTTTTATAAACTATAAGAGAGAGATGTAAATTTTGTGAAAATGTTAGTATCACTGTCAAATGAAGAAATGACCAAAATAGAAATTATAGATCTTGATGAGTTATACAACTTTGTTGTTGTTGACTTTTTCAGCTGAAATCGTTTATTGCTTCATAATATTATTTGAAGATTTGAAATTTAAATTTTAAATTGATAAAACAAAGTCACAAGAAAAAATGGCCTAAATAATAACAGTAAGAACACAATAACATGATAGAGCATGATTTTAGAAACATTTAGGAAAAAGAATCATCCAATTTGGAGTTTCAAATTTTCAAATTTTTCAAATTTTATTTTCGCATGCGGGCGCTTAAGTGAGCCGCATGGAAAAATCGATTTTTCCATGCGGGCGCTTAAGTGAGCCGTCATTTTTGCATGCGGACCTCTTAAGAGACCCCTATGGGAAAATCGATTTTTCCATATGGGCTTCTTGAGAAGCCGTTTGCGAAAATGCCGTGCGATTTTTGCAGGCGCCACTAGTTATGGTCCGTTTGCAAAAATCATGGGGTCTCGTACAGAAAAATCACTTTTGTAGTAGTGCCAACCGGGACTAAAGATATGATCTTTAGTCCCGGTTGGTAACACGAACCGGGACTAAAGATCCTAAGCCCCCCGACAGAGGTCTGACATGCCCTGTCAGGAGGCGAACCGGGACTAAAGATGATCTTTAGTCCCGGTTGGTGTTATCCCTTCGTCCCGTTGAAGTAATATCTAGTTCGTTTTAGAACCGGGACTATTGTGGAAATTGACGGACCCTCCAAAGACCTCTTCTCCAGTAGTGGCACTTATCCACATATCCTGCAGCAAAGCGTTGGGTATCAACTAGTTAAGATAAGTGCAGTAGCAAGAGCAGCCATAGTCGTTGCTCGATAATATTTTCATTAATTTGAGAAGTCTTATCTCGCGACAAATGAGGATTATCCGGTGATTTGGCTGAAATATAAATTATTAGTCTGCTTGTACAAATGGGTTGCAAGTTTGCATTGGAAGCAGCTCCTCTGACTTTTGAAGCGAACGGCAGACGTGCACAGTAAATGGGTCTGGTGCTACAGCATGGAATAGTGATGCGCAGTTACTGTAGCAAACAGTGCAAAATACTGTTCGGTGTTACTATTCACCGATTCACTGTAGCGATCGATCTTCTTCGTTCGCCGTGGATCGGACGACTAGAAATACTCCCAAAGTCACGGTAATGTAGATCCCAATCCGTTTGCATTGGTACCCAATGAGCTACTCCCTCCGTCCCAAAAAAAGACAAACCCTGGTTTCCGTGCCCAATATTTGACCGTTCGTCTTATTTAAAAAAATTATGGAAAAAATTAAAAAGACAAGTCACACACAAAGTATTAATCATGTTTTATCATCTAACAACAATAAAAATACAAATTATAAAAAAATTTTATATAAGACGGACAGTCAAAGTTGGACACGCAAACCCAGGGTTTACTTTTTTTGAGACGGAAGGAGTACTTATCGCAATTATCAAGCACACGGTTGCAAATACTATATTACTACCCAGCTTTCATTGCAGGGAATGTCGTTAACTGGGGCCTACATCAACTATTTCACCTACTTTGGCTCTGTTTCAAATTAAAAAAAAGTTTGACTCGAGCCTTACACAGCTTCACATGCATATTATTGCAGCTCGATCAGCTATTTAAACGGAGGAAGAGTACTGCAGCTGGACGATCACACATCACTCTAGAGAAAATATCAAGTGAGCAAAGGGAACTAATGATCAGCAGAGCAGAACAACACATACAATAATAATGTCTTTACGTCAAAAGAACGTAGTCATGTCGTCGACAACGCCATTGATCATCGCCTTAGTATTGCAGCAGCTGCTGCTGCTAATGGCGCCGTCGGCTGTTGTTGGTGGGACCACGATAGCCGGTTGCCCGGGCAACTGCGGCGGCGTGGGCATCCCTTACCCGTTCGGCATCGGCGCCGGCTGCTTCCGGCGAGGCTTCGAGATCATCTGCAAAAATGATGCGCCGTTCCTCGCCGGCAGCGGCGCCGATCTCATCCCGATCAGCAATCTCTCCTTCAACCCGCCGGAGGCCCGCGTGACGCTGCCCATCGGGTGGCAGTGCTTCAACTCCTCCGACAAGGTGGACGTCTACCATGACCCCAACGTGGATTTCAACCGGGACGGTATGTACCGCATCTCACACACCCGCAACCACTTCGTCGTCCTCGGCTGCAACGCGCTGGCCTATGTCGGGAGCCAGCACCGGCCCGGTGTCGTGGGCAGTGACGACTACGACCACGTCTCGTACACCGGCTGCCTGTGCTACTGCAACGATTCCAGCAGCGCGGTGAGCGGCAACTGCGACGGCGTCGGCTGCTGCCAAGTAAACATCCCGCCGGACATCACGGACAACATGGTGAGTTTCTATTCCAGCTCCCATAAGAGAAACCTCAACTTCAGCCCCTGCGACTACGCCTTCCTGGTGGAGAAGGACAACTACACCTTCAGCACCGCCGACCTGAGGATGGACAAGAACCGGACCATGCCGGTGAGGCTGGACTGGGCTATCCGCGACAACCTTACGTGCAGCCAGGCGAGGAAGACGGCGGCGCAGGTCAGCGGCTACGCCTGCGTCAGCGACAACAGCGACTGTCATGACTCGACCAACGGACCAGGATACGTTTGTAAATGCAATAAGGGATATGAGGGCAATCCCTATATCCCCAATGGTTGCATCGGTAAGTTTGTTAATTGCTACATACCCATTCGTTCAAGAAAAAAAAAACTCCCTCTGTATAATATTATGAGATATTCTGATTTTTTTTCTAGTCAAACTTATTTTAAGTTTATCCAAACTAATAGAAAAAATAGCACTATTTTAAACACAAACCCAAAGTTTGTCAAAATATAATCAATGTTAAATCTAATGAAACTAACTTGTTGTTGTGGATGTTATTAATTTTCTTATAAACTTGGGCCAAAATTAAAAAAAATTAATATATTTTGATAGTATGTTTGTTTTGTGTTGAAAATATTGCTATGTTTTTTATATAAATTCTGTCAAACTCAAAGAAGTTTGACGGGAAAAAAAGTTTAAATATCTTATAATGTGAAAAGAAAAGTAAGTATTACTAAAGTTTAAATTTATTATCTTAATATGAAACAAATAAATGCATTGAGTACTACTCCTACCTAACCACCCCTCTTTTAATTAATTTTGACCCAATCGATCATACCCACTGAAAACCGATCACCCATGTTTTCTCTTTATTCTTGATCTCTCGAAAAAAAAATACTCGGAAGTACTTATATTTATGGAAGGAGGGAGTACTTTCATCATTCCCATAAAAAAATTCCATCCTAGGAAGTGCCTTTGTTGATTCTTGGATCCAACTCCAAAGAATTCGTAGAGATGTGTGTGTGCACACTATAGTTTAAAAGTAGAGTGGTTTAAATTCCTTAGTCCAAATTATGAACTTATTTGTCCCTTCAATATAGTTATAACTAGGGATGGAAATGGTTATGAAAAATTCCCAATCGACTGGCGTGTGCTTCCGATTTAAACCGGCCAAGCTAGGTGGAAACAGTTACCAACGAAAACGAAAATGGAAGTGGTAAAAAAAAATGGAAATAGATATGAAATGATTTTGCTGCGTACCAATCGTTACCAACTTTTACCGTGTTCTTACTGTAATTACCCGTTCTTGCCTTATTTCTAAATATGCTAGTATTTATGGCCTAATTCTTAGTTTGACTCATGCTTTAGAGACCCATCAACTCCTCAACCAAATCCCTAATCTGAGTACAGTATGAAAAGGAGAAAATTTATAATTTAGATAGCATACCTTAAATTTAATTTGTCGTATTATATTGTTATGCAGAGTTAAATGTGCGATTTTATAGTTCAATGTTTCTGATATTTGTTATTTGCTTCCAATCGATACCGACATGTTGCTGTTGCCGTCCGTATAGACCATTTCCGGTTTTCTGATATTTTCGATATCTTTTTTTTCCGGCTTTACCATTTTCAAACAAATATGGGTATTGAAATGGTTGAGACGTTTTCTAACCATTTCCGATGTTTTCATTCCTACTTACAATCCACTTCATGTTAAATCTCAGCATGTTTATGTCCTCAACCACTACCAACTATTTCCTCCATCCCAAAATATTGCTACCTAGGACAACTAATCTAAAAAGACCCATTTGGCCTTCAACTAATCCAAACGGACTGTGCAGATTAGTGTCCTAGGTTGGGTCAAATCCCATCCTAGATAGCAATATTTTGGGATGGGGTAATACTGCATCTTAAATCTCATGCGACCAATATCACATCATATATAATTTATTACATTCTATATAAATATAACATCATAGAGTTCAATATGTAAGCATGTCAAATCATCATCCTCCATATCATTTTACAATATTAATTTCAACATATATCCATCTATCGTAACAATATTTAACATGCATTGATCTACGTAGTCCTTTTTCTTACATATACCACATAGACATGCCATCTCCCTCCGTCGCTTTAAAATTAGCTCAACCAATAACAGCTAATTTTCACCATCATTGTTTGTTGGAATATAGGTTTTGGACACATGAAAATGACATAACAAAATTTATTATGAGAATAGAATTCATAATATTACACTGAGGCACTGGTTTTTGATTTATGCAAAAGAATTGAGTGTTCATAATCATGGCTAATGCTGAAAAGTTTAAAACAACACTAGTTCATTTATGACTAAAGAGACTATTTGCTCAAAGGTTATTGATTATGAACAAGTATTAGAGATTGTAGAGGCCATGCGCTTTCAAGTATAGATATAAATCATAGACATGGGCGTTTCTTAATTAGGGGAAACAATCTTATATACCCCTAAACTTAGAATGAAAGTCCATTATATGGGACACTCTAAATTTGTCGCATTTGATCTACAGCATTTTAGTTTTGCGGCTTTGTCACTGGACACTAGAAGACACTTGGTCTATTATTTTAATATATACCCTTCAAATAGATGATTTTACCCTTGATTCACCTAGCATATTCAAATTTGAACAAATCTTAGCTAGTTCTAAAAAGTACAAAATATTAAAGTTGTCCCAAATTATGGAAATAAAAATATTTTACGATAAATTTCTAAAAGCTCAGAAAATAATATTTACAATTTCATGTTTTTGAAAATATTGAATACTTTTTATTTCAATTATTTTGTGACAAGTTTTGAGTTTTCCAAAATATGTTTAAATTCAGCAAAAAATGCATTTAAATTTGAATATGCAAGGTGGGTAAACTCGTTTTCTTTTCCTCACAAAGTTTTATCTCTCAATTTGAAGGAAACATATTAAAATAATGGTTAGAGTTTCTTTCAGGAAAAAAACCACAAATTAGAGTGTCCTATGGTAAAGCCATAAAACTAGAGTGTCTTAGATAAAATATCACAAAACTAGATCAAGTGTGCTAGACTGTTATATTAGTTATTCCAAACCGCATATATATGTCTGTTATATGGTAGGCATGGATAAATGATTAGTTTGTTATGTTGGGTATACTTGATGTTCGATACAGATATTGATGAGTGTCAACTCCCGAACACTTGCTATGGTCGCTGCCGGAACAAGCCGGGTTCCTTTGAATGCTGGTGTCCCAAGGGTCATTCCAGTGCTGATCCATTCAAGGAACGGTGCACCCCAAATTTTCCTCTCCCTGCACAGATCGTAGTAGGTATGTGTGAGTATTCGATCTCATCGTCCACTTGGAATAATAATGCCGTTAATATTAGTTTTATATACTTTGGAAAGTATGAGTGGGTATTCAACTCACTGAAACACATACAAAATTATTATGTGAAAATTTTGATTAATTTAACAGTACATGATTGTGCGAATTTTTTGTATTTGTCAAGTATACATTACTGATGAATATATATGAGATAGTGTTATTGCAATGAGCATCAATAATATTGAATTGCGGTATTCAATAACTACACAATACTAGGTGGGAATATTTAATTTGCTTCATGCAGTTACTACAAGTTATCAGTTCACTTCAACGAGAACGATATCAACAATAAGTATAAAACATGCATATTAGGCGCGCATGCATGTGCATCAAACATATGTCCTAAACTTACTTTATAGTAAGAAAAATATAACAGTGTTTACACTAAAGTACTATAACATTTAACACATTGGATACATATATACATGGCAAAAAAAATTGTCATATGATTGGATCCATTCAATGTACGACTGTAATTTTAGAGGCCAAAGAAAAAACAACAAATGGGTGGTCTTTTGTGTATTCCCTCCATCAACAAATACTACAGACTTTGGGTATGCAGAGAAAAACAATGATGCCCTTGGTTAAATGAGATGCTGAATGTGTGAGTGTAGTCGGGGATAATACGAATTTTTTTAATGAAATCAATGTGATTGATGGGATAAGTAGTACTCTAGAATCCCTTATATTGGTGGACGAATAGAGATAGTGAAAATCACTATATTTGTCGATGAGGGAATAGTATTAAAGAAATCCAAGAGGTGATATGTAATAGATGCAGTATAGAGGATGCATGTGGCCACGACACATATTTAATTGCAGTTCATAGAATTATTTCAATTAAAATCATCGTTCTACCATTTATCAAATTGATAAAGATGTTCATGTTCTAATATAATATTATTTTACTATGTAGGTGTGCTAGGTGGTCTTTTCATCATAGCATTATTGGTATTCATTGCACTTCTTCGTAGAGAGAAAAGAAAAACGAAAGAATTTTTTGAAAAGAATGGAGGCCCTATATTGGAAAAGGTCAATAATATCAAGCTTTTCAAAAAGGAGGATCTTAAGCCAATATTGAAAAATGCCAATGTCATTGGAAAGGGTGGCTTCGGTGAGGTCTACAAGGGGCATATTGGAAATAATAATCAGTTAGTTGCGGTGAAGAAGCCCATTAATGTTAATTTAGCAAAAAAAGACCAATTTGCAAATGAAGTCATCATTCAATCTCGAGTCATTCACAAGAACATTGTCAAGCTCATTGGTTGTTGTCTAGAGGTTGATATCCCAATTTTGGTCTATGAGTTTGTCTCCAAAGGTAGCCTCGAAGACGTTCTCCATGGCAGCAACAGACTGCCTCTCAATTTGGATCAACGGTTGCAGATTGCTGCCGAATCAGCAGAAGGTCTAGCTTATATGCATTCAAAAACAAGCACTACGATCCTGCATGGTGATGTAAAACCAGCTAATATACTTTTAAATGATGACCTTCTACCAAAGATCTCCGACTTCGGTATATCAAGGTTGCTTGCCATGGATAATGACCACACAATGTCTGTCATTGGTGATATGAGTTATATGGATCCAGTGTATTTTCAGACAGGTCTTCTAACCAACAAGAGCGATGTTTATAGTTTTGGAGTTGTTCTCTTGGAGCTCATTACAAGGAAGAAGGCCTCACACTCCGACAAAAATAGCTTACTTCGGAATTTTCTTGATGCTTACACAAGTGGGAAGACAGTGACGGAGTTTGTTGATGAGGAAATTGCAGCGGCAAATGATCATGAGCTTCTTGTTAATCTAGCAGGCATGGTTGCGCAATGTCTAAATCTTGAGGTGGATCAAAGACCAGAAATGACAGATATAGCGGAGCGTCTTCACTACATGGCTAAGAGAGCTCGTAGTAATTAAATAGAATTATTATACAGATCATTTTCTGGAATGTTCATGCATGTGCAAAACAACGTTACATATGGAACATGATTTGAAATTATCATGTTCAACATATATGTGGTTATGGTATATTGTGTATTAAAATCAGATCTTGTCAAGTAGCGTTATCGAGGCTTATGTTGTACTCTTGCACTACATACACATGTTTATGCATGGTTTCTCCTAACCGAACATCAAATCTCCACAAATTAATGTTGAGCTAGTAAGTATACATGGCCTAAAAATAAGTGTGTTTACATGTAAGCTCTAACTCCTTAACTATAAATTTAAATATTTCTTCCAACCATTTTAACAAACACATTAACCATAGTTGCTACCGAACTGACTATATATTTTATTCTAAATTTTGATTTTGTTGATCTTAAGCTACTAGTTTCATGAATTTCTTTGGAAAACCATCTCCAACTGCTTGCTGCTTGCTGCTTACTGCCATGTCACAGGGATAATGGATTAGGAGAACCACGTTAATGTTGCAGTAGCTCCCTCACTAGTATCAACAAACATGCAATGCAATGAACAACGATAGTCTGTACATACGTGGGGTGGGAGGTGCCAGAGGCGGGCCTATGATTTCAGATTGTGTATCATATCTTACTATAAAATTGATGCCCGCTAACTCCTAAAACTCAACATTCAAGTACGTCATATCATCACCTACTAGCAATTATTATCTAGAGTATTTTAAATTACATATAAGTGTGCCATATCATCACCCACCAGCAACCATTATCTAGAGTATTTTAAATATCATACAAACATGACATATCATTTACAATTTTGTTGCATTTTTAGAACTCAATATGCAAGCAATGTGAAATCATTATCTCCACCTCTTTTTCCATATTATTTAAACATATACTTTTATCATTTCCATAATGTATAACATGCATTCATATATATATCACGTAGCGCAGGGGTATCAACTAGTTTGATATATGATGGGTAGCAAAAGATTTTTTTACAAAATTATTTTAACAACCAAAAGACTATTATATGGTATGTATAGTATCACAAAATACAACACTTTATTGAGCATGGTGTAATATATCTATATAATTGATCGTAATATATAGAGGATAAAAAATGGCAGAATGATAATAAATTTTATAATTTAGAGGACAACTTTCCAAATTCTGACCCTTGATGTTTTGAAAATGAGAGATCATATCCTTATCGTTAAATTTTAAATTTACAACTTTCTGACCCTTGATCACTGGTGGAGAAACCCTTTGTAGTCCCGATTCGTAACCCCCCTTTAGTCCCGGTTTCCAAACCGGGAGTACCAATCCGGGACTAAAGATCGCTATCTTTAGTCCCGGGTGAAATAACTGGGAGTAAAGATCGATCTTTAGTCCCGGTTGGTGTTACCAACCGGGACTAAAGATCGAGCTGACCTTTTTTTTTTTGCATGGCCCTGTTGCTGCATGGTTTATATATATATATATATATATATATATATATATATATATATATGTATGCATATATATATATATATATATATATATATATAAACCATGCATATATATGTTTCAATACATATATATGCATACATATATATATGTATATATATATTATATTATATTATATGTATATACATGCATAATATATATGTATTTATACATATATATGTTATGCAAATGCATATGTATATAGATATATATATGACCAAAATATATTTACATTATAGAAAATGTGTACACATGCATATAGAAACATATGTAGTCATGTATTAATTACAATCCATTATATGTCCTAGCTAGCTACGATTTCGACGTAGTAGTACTCGCTGCTAGCTCAGAAGCTAAGGACCGGTGAATTGTGTTTCCGTCGTAGTAGAATTCACCCTTGGGATAAAGGATTTCTTCGTTGATGAATCCCATGAGTTGTTCTTGAACCGCCGTGATAAATTCCTTGTGTGTGGTCAGGTTATCCCTCATGCGAATAAACTATATGAATGTATGAAATTGATTAGTAATTAAACAAGAAATCGCTACGTAATGAAATTTTGAATTTATTTGTACGTACATCGAGCTCTCTTGTGGTGATGATTTGGTTTGCAAGGCAGTGGCAATACTCGCACACGTAATAGCCGCACAAGTTAGTTCCCTGATTTTGCTTTGCGCACTACAAATAAATGACAAACAACGAGAGATCTAATTAATATACACTTGTATGTATTTGAATCGGAGAAATATAAATGTAGAGCATGTGTACTCACAGGAAATTTGAACTTCCGCCTAAGTCTTTCTCTCCATTTGCCGCGGACCAAATGACGGAACCGATACCAAGCCCTACATGGAGTTTAAAGCTATGATTCGTAGTAGCAATTAACATAACAAGATTTTCTTAATTAACAAAGGAACTTATGACGGTACCTGTCTATAAGTTCGAAAACCTTGTCAAACGTAGACTCTTTTTTATCCATTGAGTCATATACGTTGACGGTGCAAGCCTCCAGGTCGAAGAGTAAAAGCACCCAGTGGAATCTGCAATGTGCGTGGGATGCATTACATATGAAACACTTAGCAAGTTCGTACGGAAATGAAATTTGGTATGTAGGAAGACAGTAAAATTAAACTAACTCTGTGTTGTATGGCAACAGTATGAACGTCTTGTAATGCTGCGCATTCAGGAGATGGACGAGATTGTCCTCTGTTTCTTGTGGATATTGGTCGAGCATTGCGACGTTTACTTTCCGAGGGTCGATGAATCTAGTATCGAAAACCCTCCGCCGTCGGGCCCTTTGAATCTCCATTCTACAACGATAAAAGGGAGTATATTATTTTCTATAGTCTACTTATATACAAGGACTTAATTAATTAAAGGAGACGTATAGTAAGAAATCTAACTGAACGATATACTTACAAAATCCAGCAACTCATAATAGAGACGTCGAGGGCGTCCAGCTGGTATAGTTCGTAGATTCCCCTGAAATTGATCCAGAGAATGTCATCTCCTTGCAAGAAGTCCGTGTCCCTGATCCTCGCTCCGATCATCTCTCTACCGGTGGCGCACATCTCCATGTACAGCTGATGGAACTTGTACATTTGTGTCGGTAGGGACTGCAGCAGCTCAGGCTTGACAAGCGGTTTACCGAGTTTGTACATGTATTTCACTTCCGCCTTTTCGATTGGTGCGACTCCTAGCAATTGATCCGTAGTTAGACCGGTGTCAGTAATAAATTGTTCTATCGTCATTTCTTTACCGGTCACCAACGGCTCGATCTCCTGGTTTGGTTGCTCTCCAAGCTGAGGGACTGGTTTGGACTTTCCAGAAGATGCTTTCTTCAGCGTTCGCTCATAGTCCGATAGCTTGATGGCCTCCTTGACAGATGCAGACATACCCCTGAAGAAGTTCCTGACACTGGGGTCTATAGGAATCTTCTTTTCTGGACTTCGAGGCTTGAATTGTCTCTTGACTTCTGATGCAACGTAAGTGTCAAGCTCCTCTTGCGTGCAATTGTACCCCGGGTCCTTGTTCTTGGCGGCTTCAACTTTCGCCTTCTTCGTTGCCCTTGTGTGGGCAGGCGGTGGAGCTGGGGGGGCCCTTGACTTTGAAGGTGCCGGAAGAGGAGCTTGCGGGGGAGTAGGTGTAGGAGCACGAGGAGGAGTCGGTGCAGGATCCTGAGGAGGAGTCGATGCTGGAGCCTGAGGTGGAGACGGTGCTGGCGGAGAATGAGGAGGAGACGGTGCAGGATCCTGAGGAGGAGATGGCGGAGCCGGAGGAGATGGTGCACGAGACGCCGCTTGTCGCCCAGGGAGGATGATGTACCGCCTGCGCCATAGAATAATGGCATGGCTTGTATCTCGTAGATGCGTCTCACCGTCTCCTCCAGGGTAATCCAGCTCGAGGTCCTCGTACGCGCCTTCGACCAACTCAACTTCGACCTTCGAGTATCCTGCTGGAATCGGCCTGCAGTGGTAAGTACCTGAAGGGTCCGTTGGGATGGCCATGCCCGACGCCACCTTCATGTTGTGAGAGATTATTTATTAGTAATCAACATATATAAGCAGCAACTAGCGGAATGGCTAAATCTTACCTTTATTGATAAGTTCTTGAAAGGAATATGCAGCTCACATGGTGTCCGCTGAGTGATGTCATCAACGGAACAGGTCGATTCGTCCTGTGTTTGCATGGCGTCCATGCTCTGTGATCCTACCTGCCCCGTTGAGGCGCAGCTGCTACGGTTTCCTGACGGGATCACCATTGCAGGAGGAATGGTCGGCTGGGGATCATGGGACCGATGTGCGGCCATGCGTTCATCAACCTTCCTTGCCACCTCCTCTTGCATGTTGAGTTCGTAGCTCGATACCCGGAACTCTAGGTCTGCAATCTTCGCCTCGGTATCTCTCTTGCTCCTCATCCGACTCCTGTACGTGTGGATGTCCTCCTTGAAACCAATCTTCCAAGGAATCACCCCTTTCCCTCGTGTTCGTCCTGGATGCTCTGGAGTCTGCAGGGTGAGTGTCAGCTCATCCCTATCTCTGTCTGGTCGGAACGTGCCCTGAGAGGAGGCTTCCACTGCATCTGTTAGTCGTCGCGCAGCCTCTCGTATCTGATCGCCGAAGACCAGTGAGCCATCAGCTGGGTTGAGCGTTCCACCGTGAGCATAGTACCAGAACTTCGATCGTTCCGGCCAATTGGCTGTTGCCGGTTCGATACCCCTCTCAATCAAGCTAGCCTCCATCTGCTCCCACTTCGGCATCGCGACGCTATAGCCTCCTGACCCCAAGTGGTGATGGTACTTCTTCTTGGCGGCATTTTCTTTGTTTCTTTCCATCATCGCCTGCCCTTGTTCACCTGTCTTATAAGCAACGAAATCGTCCCAGTGATCCCTTAGCTTTGGGAATGTGTCGAAGTTCGGTGTCTGCCCCTTCAGTATATACTTCTGGTACAGATCTCCCTTGAAGCTCTGAAACTGTTCTGCCATTTTCTTCAGAGTCCACCTTTTCACTTTGTCCTCTATACCCGCAGGAAGGGTGAATGTCTCGAGCATTGTGGTCCACAGCATCTCTTTCTCCGAATCTGGGACAAAGCTCTCATGATCTCCGCATGCCCTTGTTCTTCGCCAGTACACCGTACTGACAGGCACGTTATCCCGCACAACCCAACCGCTGTGACGTACATAGTTCTTGGCGGCTTCGGCCGGGGCACTA